CTAGTTTCTCCTTAGTCTCATAGAACAAGAAATAATACCAAAAAAAATGAAGTACACAAACCCTGACATCTTGGACCCATGGGAATGCCAAATCTGCTTACACCTCTTGGGCTCAGAGGGAAGGATGCTGTTCGCCGAAAGTACTTCCAGTGTGCCAAATTCAGACAGGCTTCTCTCTGCACTCGAGAGGTAGTGCAGGCTCATAGCTAAGGCAAGCAGCCTGCCAGCAGCTCCCAAGTCTGTCAATGGCTTCCTGAGCAAAGTTCCAGCTCCACAAGTGACCGTGCTTTGCCCAGAGGCTGAGAAAGGTGCTGTTGTAGAAGCTGTAGTGGATACCCAAATACACTTCAGAGAAATTTTAAGTTCAGTCATGGAGAGAAATGTCTTTCTGTACTTCCTGCATATGTAACAAGTGCATTAAACTATCAATACAACAGATAAGCCCTAGCTGTACAGACACACAAGCATCATAAAGGCACTGAGGTGCTGTAGCAGGAAGAAATGCTGTATATGCATAAACTACATGCACCTTCACAACCAGCTGTCTTTTTCTAGTTGTCATTCATTGTCACTGGAAGCTAAATAGTTCAAGGGCACAGGAAATACCTATTCTAAGCTAAAAGGAGGAGGAAAGGCATTCCATCATACTGAAAAAGGGGATATAAGTTGGGAGGGACAGACGGTAAAGGATAAAACCTGCCTCAGAGGGTGACTGCTCATCTCTCACAGTACTTGTGCCTTCTGCTCAGAGCAAGAACAGTGTGATGGTGGTGGCCGAGAGGCTGGGAGCCATACAGTGTGAGCTCCTACTGTGGGGGCTCCAAGACTAATGCCTGGGATCTCACAAGGAAAAGTCAGGAAAAAGAGAAGGAATGACAGAAAAAGTATTTCTGTCCCCAGCCCCACATATCTCTTAACTTGAAGGACCTCAACTTTTCTGTCCCCAACATTTGAATTTATTTTTGATTTGTTTATTTTTAAATGAGGCAAAGATAATAACTGGAGACTGAACTTTGCCAGCTTAACATTTTTTTTTTTTTCAAAAAGCTACTCAAAGAGTTCTCTCGTACTTTACTGTGCTATAACTAAAACAAATCTAGTCCCTTGGGGAAGAATTTCAGTTGCTGGTGTTGGCTTTCTGTTTCTACTGAACTAGTGACGCTGGAGGTCAGATCCTTCCATCTGCAACACCATTCCTCCACAGCCCAGGTTGATTACAGAGAGACTCCTGCCCTGGGAGAGCTGTAGGAAGTTCAGCCTCTCACGTTCATACAATCTTTACCCTCTCTCAGCAAGGGCTCCAGTCAGATATTCCCACTGTTTGTTATCAAAACAAAAGTGACTATTTATTATGAACAGATCTATATTCCTAAACTTGCTTTACACAGCACAGCTTCACCTAGGACCCCACTAGTTGAGGTCAGAGGGGTGACCTTGCTGCATAGTGTTATGGAAGCACTGACACAAGATGACGGGGAAATGGTTTTCCCCAAACTTGACCCATAGACAAGCTGCAGAACTGGACACAGAAACCAGAGATCTGTCAGAACTGTCCTGACAGTTGGTTCAAACTTGCAGCAATCCAAGGTCAAAGTCGTTGCCTGTCCCACTGCCCCATTCTAGAGGCACAATGGCCCTCCGAATCTCTCCAAAATGGCACGCAGGTAACTCCATGTGATTTAAATATAATCAGGAGATTCTGAAGTACAGATACAAGGCCAAATCCAGCGTTCAGAAACACTGTCACTGTGATACTACAGGTCCCAGATTTAGTCAATTAAGGGACAAAGATCACTAGCATGCAGTATTCCCAGAGAAGCATGCTGTCCAGTGGGTGCCTCACTAACAGCTGGCATCTGGAATGGGATGACAGCTTTAGAGGCTGAGTTTGAAGGGTGCTGTGCACTTCAGCTCCTGCTGAGGATAAAGGGATGCACAACACTTCTCAAATAAGACAAAAAATATCTAGATATGTCACATGGAATAAAATACATATTAATGAAAATATTTTGACATTGACAAATGAGTCAATGTCTAAAATGAATGGCTTGAGACCCTTATGAATTTTGAGCCCCTAAAAGGAGAATCTTGCATACTACCTCGATATTTCCATATGGTCCTGCACACTGCATGCATGTTGACTTGTGAGGTCTACAATCTGTACCCTCAGTTTCTATCAACTGCCCTTTGCTTTCACTGTTGAACCAATAATCTGCCACGACTTAAGAATAAAGGTGGCTACTTGTTAAATTAGAAGTCAGATAAGTCTACCAGTAGATGATGCCACTTGCAATAACTGCTCTCAGTGGGTACTGCTCTTCCTGTATGAAGACAGGAGATGAAATGAGGCTTCCATTGGCTCTGGATTCTCTCTTGGGTACACGACATACAGCCCCACACATAAAATGTCAGAGCAGCCCTGTCAGAGATTCACTGGCTGCTAAAACTGTGAAGATCTCACAGCACCGTGGATTGCTGTTGACAGAAAAGCAGCGCCCAACACAACACATGCCTTGTTAGCAAACTGGAAGCCTCTCAGTTGTCTGGGGTGAGGGAATAATAGAGGAAGCCAGTGCAATGCAAACCAGGCCTGTGGAGAACAGCAAGTGAACAAACCTTGGCGAAGAGTCCAAGCAAACCCTCAGACTAGCTCTTTTCTCCCCCTCTTTCAAACTCTCTTTCTTTTGTAAATATGAACACTTTTCAGTGCGCCCTGCCCACCATGTAACTGAGCTGGTGAAATCAGCACCACTGTCATCAGGAGAGCCTGCAGCTGGCACAGCAGACCTGTACAAAGCAATGGGAAAGCCCCACAGCTAGTATTTAGGTAAGCTGACACTGACTTTTCCACCATGTCACGGCACCTCCCCTACATAAAAAGCCATATCCTTACTTCCAGCACTACACTGTCCTGGGGGCACATGGACAGCTGCAGCAAAGCACAGGCACACCCAGTCAGGCCGAGGGCTGGGCCACACAGGTGAGTTTTGGAGCTGGGGACCCGTGTACCACTAGGCTTTGTGGCTGTAGCTTCTCTGTTCCTGCCTTCCAGTTCCCTCACAAACCACTTTCATGCTCCAGCAGAGAGCTATGACATCTCAGCATGGCAAATGCTGGGTCATCCCAGGGAGCCAGTATTGCTTTGGCAGGACTGTGAAACAAAAGAAACATCAGCCTGAGAAATGCTTCTTTATTTGCCTCTGTTGAAGAAACAAAACCTTTATGGGCAGTAACTTTGCTTTAAACGATAACATGTGTGGATCCTGTGCTTATCCTTTTGCATCTGGCTTCCAAAATCTGCCCTGTTCTTTTTCCACGTGAAAGACTATGAAGCTTATTTTTGTTTTGGTGCTAGTGTGCATCACTGCCAGAGAAACTGGCACACACTGAAGCTAGTGAGCCACCCAAATTACTGTTGGGTGGTTCAGTCCCTCTCTATTTCAAGAAGCCTCTGGGTATAATGACAGGAAGCTTACAAGCAATTTCAAGCCCAACTTCAGAGAAGCTGGCATTCAGTTTGTGCTACACGCTGCTTATTAAAAGCTGTCCAGTCCGGATTCTGGGTGGAACTTTGATATCTGCATGGAGTAAAGAATAAGGGGCACGTTTGCAAAATCAATTGTGCAGTTTTTATATTTACTGCACGTTTACCACATATGTCATTTATTACACAGTGGAAAACCGTTAAATGCACAGTAGTTGTGCCAAGTGGCATTATGCTTTTAACAGCTTTATTCGTTTAACAGCTCCAGTTCTCATTATATTTTGCCATGTGGTACATGAGATTTTTATGCATTTAACAGTTTAAGAGGGTTCCATGGTATTTTCCTTTCATGTATTTCATACTGTGCCTGGGATTTTGTTGGGGGGCTGAGGGTTTGTGGACTGTAACCCCTGTACTTAGACAAGATAAAGCAAAAGGCAAAGAAAATTAACGATTAAACAAGGAAGGAAAAAATGGATCAGACCTCCAAATGTGTGGGCACAAATACCTGTAACAAGGACAAGGCTCTCCCATGGGCTTTGATAGCCTTTGACGCTTTGTTTATATGCCTTTCAACTTCTTATTTTACATCTATTTTAATGACTACAATATTGCTTTCCTTCACAGAGAGAAAAAATGTACTTAGTAGAGTACATGCACCTAGATATTTCTAACCCTTCCACACAGAGGCATTGGTGCATTCCTGAATGCATACTGATGCCCTCTCCTAGCACAACTGAGTAATTTCATTCAGGATCAGAAGCAGCTCTTCTCGCACAGAGTGAACAGTCGGTTCCAATGGAGACCATTGGAACCATGGAACCATCATCTGCTTGCGGTCCTTCCTACAAAAAATGCCGTCCTCCTTTCCACAAAATTCATACTGATACATTATATTTTTTTAAACAGTTGGATGAAATTTTTAAATTAATGGATTCTCTTCAAGAATTTCACTCCAGCCTAGGTTTGCCCACATGTATTTTTTACATCTACGGTGAAAATTAATCCAGGAGAACACACTTTGGATTTGATGTGAATTGTTCACGTGGCAATACTGCATGCAGCACATACAACGTGAGGAGAAAAAAAAAAAAAAAGGAAACACCTTCCTAACATGCAGTTTCCCCATCATCTTCCTTCCATTAATTACTTAAGAAAACAGTATTTTTACCTGCAAAACAAGAAGGGCATCATCATTTTGGAAGGTCCTTGTCGTACTAATAGATGTGTAAGTTCTATGCTACAAGTGGGAAAAGACATGTGTGTTTGTACAAAATGGAGAGGAAAGCTCAGCTGCTAGCCGGTCCTTTTTTCAGTCTATTTTAAAAGGAAAAAGGAAACCACTTAAGCAGGCAAATGCCAGAAACACGACAGGTTCCCCAGAGATGAAGGTTATTATTATTGTATGAACAGATGTATTTTTATTGGTGGGAGTAGAATATAGGTCTAGCTCCAACCCCAAAGTTGGCTTTAAAAACAAAACCCCAAAAAGAACGAAATCCCCTCTACCACTCACCTGACTTTTATTGGCAGCCACCTTGGCAAACAGAGCTTGAGATACCTTGGCCCTTTTCATCTCCTGTTGGATCTCGTCATAAATGGCAGCTGTGATGTTGACGTTGGCGCCGTCCGCCTTAATGGGGAGGTCTGTTGTTGGTGTCGAGGTTTTGGCCTACCAAGAGACCATGAAAATAATAATTAAAAAAGTGCTGCTTTCAGCCCAGCCATCTGTGCAGAAATTATCAAAGGATTTCAGTCAGCTGATGCCAAACTGCATTAGCTACAGAGGGACACTTCCTGTCCATTATTCTAATCAGGTTAATTGTGATTGGAAATAATTGCAGTGCATTCCTATAGGACATACAAGGCCCTGTCAACTCCCCCCTCTCCCTCTCCCAGCATGTTTATTGAGCAGCTCAACAACACGATAGGTAGCTGGGCGCTCGGCTGCAGGCAGCCGCTGAAGTTTGCTCTGCCAGCTAGCTGCCACGGCACTGACACCAGCCTCTACCTTCTTCCCCCCTCTTCAAAAAGTGGCCTACACCTTGGAGGAAGAGCCAATTCTCCCAGAAAAAATGAGTAAATGGGTAGAGGTCTCTAAATAATAAATTATTACTCAATTTAATGCACTCCCTCAAGTCTCTCTCATCCTTTATTAAAACTATACGTATGTCATTTGAGTATGTAAGGTTTCCCAGCCTTATCATCATTATGCTGGCCAGACAGTCACCTAATTTCACCTAGGAAATCAGTGGAAATGAAAAAAAAAAATCATTTCATAAAGCTGGGCTTTGGCATGCCTTTGATGTGATGCCCTCATTCTCCTAAACTCATATTGAGATTTTGTGTATTCCACTGCACTCCTTTTAATTGAATGATTTCCCATCAGCTTCTGTGACAAATGAAGGACAATAAGAGAGCTGCCAGTACCTTCTCCAGGCTGGACTACCCTTGCAAGGCTGCTATCAGTACAACGCTGTAGGCTTCTGTGAGATTTTTATTTTAAAGCTCCTCAGCCTTGGCTGCCCTCAGACGGTGGAGGCAGGTGAGGGACAGGAGGCAGTGCTCACAGCACCAGCAGCCTCTTGGAGCTCAGATCTCACCTGCCAGGGCTGATACTTGAAATCTTACAACTTTCTAAGGAAATACATAGGTTACTCACATAAAACCCCCATTTTCTCTTGAGATGTGAAAGTCTTAAGAAACAAACTAAGCTAAGTCAGAAAGCTCACATTTTCATATAGATTCAAACCTCCCGTAAACCCTGGTGATATTCAGTCATCTGGTCCAATCATAAGCCTTTTCAGCTGGCTCCTGCCATTGTACCAGATTTGAAGGCTGCTACATCTAATATCAATTTTTAACTAGGTAGACATGGCCAAATGCCTCTTTGTTAATGAGAAGGTTAACTAGGCAAAACCAAGCCTTCTGAACTTCGTTATGCTTTCCTCCAAATCTTCTTGTGCCTAACATCTTTTCTATTCCAAGGCCCACATTAATAACGGAGACAAAATTCAATCAAGACAACAATCTAATCACTCTTCCTACTGCTTGCAGATAAAGCCTTCATCAACCTGTATCTCCTCTCTTTCTGAAGCCAGTCTGAGGATCAGGAGACCACTGTGCACAACCCGCACAGTGCTGCATGGCACAGCAGCCAACTGAACGTGTGCACCATGCTCAGCAAGGGCTTCCTACAGCTTTGTGCCTCCTTGGCTTGTTTCCTGGCTGTTCCAACACAACAGCACTCTCAGAACAGGACCCATAGAGAAAGGGCTGGAGATTTCTGCATCTCTGCATTAAGACTAGGGCAGTAGGAGCACAATCGTAGCAGACCGGGGCCTCTGGTGCTCTGGCACCACTGGAGGCCAAGGCCAAACTCATCCACAGGCCCTGACCATGAGTGGGTACAGCCCCATGGATGGACTGACAGGGACAACGAGCTCCAAAATTCAATCCTCAGGGATAGACAAGAGACAGGACACTTGTGAGGAACACAGGAAAGCAATGAAGAGATCATGGGAAAGGAAGACGATTGTCCAAATCTGTCAGGATTCATTTAGTGGAGCTTAACTGAAGACACTGCAGCGCTGCGAAGGGTATAAAGAAAGTCTTCCCAGGCAATGGAGCCTTTGATTAGCACAGCAGCTGAAGTCACCAAGGCCTGGAAGGTGAGGCCTGAGGTTCTGAGAACAAGATTAGCATATAAAGGAAAGTTTCAAAACACATCTTGTCCTGCACAGATCTCCTGCACTGCCAGCTCCACAGCCAGAACTCAGGAGCCAGCCTGCCCACTGCACCCTGAAAGCCGGGCTCTTTTTTATTTAAGAATCAGAATAGGTAGGACAGGTGCCAAACAGAAATATCAGAAGCAAGTGTTTAAAGCCAGAGGCCTGGATTCAAAATTGATCTTCATATTAGCAAGAAGTTTGCCATTATTGAAATGTCTCAGTGCAAATGGTGAAAAAAAGAGAAAGAAAACAAAAAAGAAAAAGGGTTTGTAATCACAATGCTAGAATGCTGAAATCCCAGCAGTTACTGCTGGTCTTCGACAGAGAGAAGAGAGTTGGCAACACATATGCAATAACCTTTAAAAGCTCAGAACCCCTTCCCCCAAGCACTTGCATCCTCTTGCTAGATGGATCTGCTGCTCTCACCTCCACACCGGTGCTAGATCGCATCTGTCTGTGCTCGGGGAATACTCTGAGGGGCTTTGGGTTCCAGAGCGACAGAGTCAAGCTAGGTGACTCCTTGTGCTCATGAGCCCACCTCCATGGCTGTCCCATCGCTTAACCATGCTCTATCCAGCACGCTAAAAAAAATCATTTCCCGAAGTACTGCCTCAAGAGATCGGTATCTATGGAAACCATGTTTCAAAATAACATTAAATCAACTTCTTCAGCACTGTAACATAATTCTTGAAAAGCCAGTATAGTTCCTCCTCACTGGTTAGCACTGCTATCCCCCAAAGCACCATTATCTGGGGTATACAACATATTTGCCTGGGGAGGCAATGTTTCAGAATGGCTGCCTGGTATATGAACAGGAACTTGTCTCATCGGGACTAATACCAGGCATATGGGGAAGCACAGTAGCCGAGCTGCCTGCCCAGGAGCTGGGAAGCAGCCTAATTTGCAGAGGTGTCCAAGTTGTCAAAACAGCACCTGTGCTGACTGGTGCTGGCCCTCAGAGGACTGGGGAAATTTTATCCAGTGGGCACAAGACAAGCACTGGGTACAGAAAGGTTTCTGCACTGCTTTTGGTGATTAAAAAATCTCACAATATTCTACCAAATTCTTCAAGAAAATAAGGGACGGGCAAGCTGCTACATATTTCTAGAGTATGGTTTTCTAACAGTGCTTCACTCTTAAAAAGAAGAGCAAAATTTTCCTTACTTAAAGCTGTCACTAGAACACGGGGAAGATTTCTTATTTTGACAGAGGAAAGAGACAGAGTGACAGATCTGACAGAGAGCTGATTTTTATTTTCACCGGACTGCATCTAACTCACCCATTTCTTTCTGTTTTTTGTTTTTTGTTTTTTAATTATTATTATTCTATTCAAGTTATGAAATCTATTGCACTAAATATTAGCAGTAGTAAGCTAATTCTTTCATGAAAATATAAATGCAGAAAGAGTTTACACTATTTAGATGTTAAAACAGTTCTCATCAGAATTTTGCTTTCACAGAAAGATAACTAAAAACAGTTATGAGTTATGCGACAATGAATTTTGCGTATGACAAAAATTCAGCATTCAATTCCGCTTGGCAAGATGTGCTTGCTTTCAGTGAAAGCAGTTCTTTACATCATGTGTAGCAGTAGAGCCCACCCAAACACGTGAACTGAGCTCAACAGTTTCTACAAAATCAGCACACGTTAAGGACGATCTACGTGCCTTTAACCCCCTGCTCCAAGACTCATTTTTAGCAGCTGCAGATCCAGTATTCAGGATGAGAATTGCTCAGTAATACTATAAGCATGGTTAAGACATGCACAGCCTGAGCGAGCACTCAGAGACTCTGCAGACTGCATGACTGTGGAAGTACCCAAACAGGAGGGTTACAAAGGCCTGTTTATGACAGATGAAGAGAAGTGCTAGACCCGAGCTGTCACATCTGCACAATTAGAAATTTCAAACTCAAGTTACACAAATGTCATGACAAGACATTTAATTGTTGTCTCTGTGCAATCACCTTTTCCCTTTTGGAGTATATGTCTGGAACAGCAAGAAGCCTGGCTGAAGGGTGATACACTATGACAGGGTAGTACCTGCATGTTCATTCTTAGCGCAAAGGAACAACTTATGTAGACAAGTGGATAGGAACAGAATGTTAATAAACCTGATTCGTTAAGTTTACTGGTTTAGAGCTTCAAAGCATCATCTTCTCCTGCCCTAGCACTGTGCCATCTGTACTTTCTGTACTTCAAATAATTACTAGCGTAAACTAACTAAAGGATTGTCATTTCGTAGGCAGAGTGCACTGATTTCTAACTCACTGTTGGCTCCTAATCACTGCATGTTTTTGACTGCAACATATATGAATCTCTCCACAAGCTCAGAAATTTCCTGTGTTCTGTAGAACATCACAGAGCACTAAGACAAAAAGTTATGTACATAATCTTTCTGTAACATAGTCTAAAATACTCTATCTGGAAAGCCCGCAAGCAACCATTCAGGTACTAAAATCAAATACTCCTTTTTGCATTTATGGCATTGATCAAAGCTAGAATCATCACTAAGTCTTGTTTCAATTCAATAAACACCTCTTAACAGCCTCTCCAAGTACTTATAAAAGGATTCCCACAACTCACTTGAGTAAAGGAAGCAACATACAAGGGAAGGGCAGAGAAAACCTCCTTCCCTGGACTAACATTAGCACAGGACCACATAACAAACAAAGGATCACATCTTACCTGGGGAGTTCTAGAGGAGCTTGGGCTGCTGGCTGCTGAAGACACCATGCTCACATTAGGATTCATGCTTCTCTCTCTCTCATCCTGATAGATTCGATCCCGTTCTGAGTCTGGCAAGTTGAGGAAATTCTGCATCGCCCTTAAGTTTACCAGGAGGGACTGGGAAGCTGTCCTGGGGTCTTCTTCTTTACGCAGGATCTCAGACAACAAGCCCTGGTTAAAAAAATTTATAAGTCCAGTCACATGGTGGTATTTTAAATTTGTTTAGAAAAACTGAGAGCCTACATCAGAATCTCATAGCCTCTTCCACAGGGTCTATTTTGTAGGAAAGTGCTCGTCTCGTGAGGACTGGAGTTTATTTTGCAACTGTCCTATTCTGGCACTGCAATAAGCATATAAATAAGCATGTGAGCATAGAAATCCTGGATATGAAGGCAGGTGCACTGGGTAGAAGAAACTGCAGTTACCACCAGGTGCGTGCAGCAAATATTTTAGGAGCTGTTAGATGTCTCCCTCTCCCTCTCTCTCTGTCTTGATGCTGGGAATGCTTGGCAGGCCTGTTCATCTTTGACAAATCTGCCAAGTTTGGTATATTTAGTTTTGACATTTAAACAGTGCAGGAGGTTTATAAAGAAAAACATTTGGTTGGGTTTGATGTTATAGTCCGTTCATCTTGGTTTGGACCCTTGTTTCTGAGAGGAGAAAATGCAGTAAATAATAAAGCCTTAGAATACAGCTCTAGGGATTTAACCCATTCTTTTATGCCTTATTTTAAAACACCATGGGCTTCTTGCTGCAACAACAAATTAACGCTATATTCACCTAATTTTAACAAAAACCATTCTGCCAGGAGGTAACCAGCAGAAAATTTAAAAAAAAAGAAAAAAAAAGAAAAAAAAAAGGGAGAGAGAGAGGAAAATAGCATTAAATGAAGCTTAAGTCTAATGATGAGATTAAAGTAATGCATAACTGCAAGCACAGCTTATGTGGAAGTCAGGGCACAATATACAGGCCTGGGGGGGCCTACACTAACCACTAGAGCAAAGCACGTTCCACCCACGCTCCAGAGGCACCCACCACATCCCCACTTCACAAGAAGCCATTTCACTCCCAGAAGCGATAAAGTCCCCTCCTGAGCCAAGTGCTCACATACGCTGCTGCACAATGAAGCGGTGCCACAAGCCCTAGGCCACCATGGGAGCTGCGGCCTTCAGCCACAAAGGGGACACAGGGCCCCACTGCGATTCAGCCACAGCTGCTGACATGAATGTTTTGCACCACTACTGCACAGTTGTGACTGAAGCAAGCTGCCTCACCAGCACTTCTTTCTTGTAAGGAAAACGTTACTGGAAAACAGCCACCCAGTCAAAACCCTGTAACGTTCAGCCTATTTTCTTCCATACCCCGAAGATTTGCTAAAACCCCGGTCATGCAGTTGAGTAACGTGCAAATGCTAACACTGTTGCTATTTAGTGATCTTACTGAACAGAATTCCTGACAAAACAGACAGGCAAACAAGTGTCTGTATCTACTTTTATCTGTCACCTGCTACTGAACATCCACATTAAAAGACATACGCACGAGCTGTGCTTCAGCAGTATGGATGCCTGAAGTGCTTGAAACAAGCTCCAAAGGTAACCTGTAGGTAGGCTGGACACAGCTCACCTTTTCAGCTCGTAATCTACATGACAAAGACAAGAGTCCCTGCAGACCCCAGATGGCCCAGTCTGGGCCTGAAGGCATGGCGAGACCCTCAGACCAGGAATGGGAGCAGGAGGCTGCAGGGAGGCGGGCAGGTGGGGCAGGCCTGCACGGGCACCATCAGGCCCTGGCATTGCTTCTGTCACTCTGCAGCCCTGACAAAGCCACGAGCTGGCACCCAGATTCCTTCTCAGAGTTTACCACCCCTCAGGGAAAGTAGGGATCTTCTGTAAAAAGAATTCCAAAGTTTGCCAGACTCACGCGCTGCACATTAACAGAAACAGGACGCTTCAGAAAGCTGAGCCTGTGACTTGAGGCGTTCCAAGATCAATACAGCATGTCCCTATTATAATTTCCCCCTAAAGTCAGTGGAAAATTCTCCGAAGGCAGTAAACAAATATCAATTCCACAGATTCTCCAAATTTTTAATTTTCTAGGTCTTAAAGGATATGTAACTTTTTTTTGTTTCCCCTTTGGGTCAGCTTCCAAAAATTAATGGGGTTGCGGAAAAAAAGGCACCTGAAAGCTTCTGGAGCTGACTCTAAGACCGCTTTTTCTCCTCCCATCTTAGCCTGGCTAAATTTATGGTTCAATTTCAAAAATGGAGAGCATATGTGAAAGCATGCCAGCAATTACTTTTCGCAGTCATCGACTCCGTATGTAAATCAGGGGCACAGGTACACGTGGCTCAGTCATGGCACTGATAAGGTATCTTACTGCCTGAGACACCAGCTCTGGGCTCGTGGGCTCCAATCAGAAATGGCACATCGTGGGAGAGAGTCGACGGTTCTGACTTTAGTTTGTGCCTCATGTTTCTATGAAGATCTCGTCCTTTGCAGAGACATAGCAATATTGCACACATCTCAGTCACCAGACCCTAGAACACCACATCAGTTGTCACTGGGCCCTGCCCCAGTGCTCATTCCAAGCCTGCAGGTAGGAAATCTGGCTGCAACAAGTGCCTGCGGCTCAATTATAGTAGGCAAAGCCACTTTGACAGCTCCAGAGCCATGTCGACAGCAGGACAGATAACAAGAAAACCAACTTAGAGGGAAAAATCTCCTGTCCTCCTGCAACTAAAGATAAACAGTGCTGGTAAACAACAGCGGTTAGATAGCTGAGCGGTAGAGTAGAACAATAAATTTAAGTGTCTTGAGAGCAATAATGTTTACAATAATATAATTCTGAGCTACTGAAGTATACACAAACTAACCAGAGAGCAACAATATAAAAATAAAGTGATATTAAATAATCCGTTCAGCCTTTTTGTCACCTGCAACAAATTAGGCTTTCAATATGCAAAACATCTTCCTTCCAGAAAAACAAATGATCGTGATTTCATTTAATTGTAATTTAATGAGGCATAATTTATTTTTTAAAGTGATATACACCAGGTGTGTGGTGAGGAAACTGGCCCAGCCAGACAACCCCACTGTTTCTATTTTTGAGAAAACCCTAAAGCCAGCCAGAGAATGTTTTCATTTCTGTAAATTGTATTTCTGCTGGAGGGGCTGAGGGGGGGAAACCCACAGCACTCATACTTTTGTTATAAAATTCCATGGGCTAAATTAGCTCATTCCGACTTACTTACATCTCATGTTAAAATAAATAAATAAATAATACTGGCAGTTTGCAAAGCAATCAACTCTGCAAACCTAAGAAACTCAGGGACTAGAAAGTCTAGTACTGATTTTAAGCGACCAAACAGGTCTCCTTTACCAAACACAGCTTTTAGGATGAATTTCAAGTTAGGTAGCTTATTAAAATCTTTGCTTTTCCACTCCTGGGCATCATTTTTAAGCCAGTTACTGAAGAGGCAGTGGATGAAAAGTTGAACAGTTGCACAGACTCCGCTGAGCTGTGCTATCCAAGCATCCCAAGAGAAAGACTCTGCACAGGCACATTTTGGTTTGTGCTTGGAACTGATGCTGTGTTTTAAATTTCACACTGGATCCCTAATTGACTTAAAAAAAAAAAAAAAAATAGCCAGAAGTGGAGAAAGGAGCGCATATCCAGTCAAAATAAAAAAGTCTTTGGAGCTATTTAAGGTAGGAGCAATTTTGACTTTTTTTTTTTCTTTTTTTCAAAGAAGTGAAATCTAATCTTTCAAAAACAATTCAGCAAAGTCACTATCTTGGGGGTTTGCCCTGCACTCATCCAATGAAATCCATTTGTGAACTCATTTATTTTTTTCCCCAGATACAGGATTTCCAGGACAAACGCATCAAACCTCACAAAGAAACTTTTTCAAGCAACTTCTGAAAGAAAATGCACTACAATGAGAGTGAATGTTATTCAGGCCAATTCCTCAACCCGAAGGACCAACTAACCAGCCTTTGAGACCAACACAAAGGCTCGACCAAAGCCCATGGAAGGCAAGCGAAGTCTTTCTGCCTTCTTCCCAAAGAGCTTTGATTCAGGCTTGTAAAGGCATAAATGAGGTCTCAGTGGGACAGCAGACTGCACTACCAGTGACCTAAGGAAGGACAGTTTTGCAACCAAGGCTTTTCAAAAGTAGTCTGGATCAGGTTAAGGAGGTCATGCTGGAACACAGCCCAGACACCGATGTCCTCAGGACAGAGGAGGGTGAGGGCCATCAGGCAGCTGGGGACTCACAGCACTGGCCAGGACCTCACGCACATCAAGTTCAGAGCCTCAGCTGGGAGCCACACTCTGCTTCACCCACACCTCAGCAATGTGGCCATGAGAGCAGGCACAACTTTAAAAAGGTTCAGAACAAGACTTGGATCAACTGAAACACTGGCCAGAGCAAAAACCTGAATAAACCCAACTAATGCACTAAGCCTCAGTTTGTATGTTCTGTAGAAGATTATGTACACATGAAGGACTAAAAAAGCATAAACACTTTCTTCATACTTTCAGTTGATCTGTGCCTATCCATACTTCAGCTACTGCCAAGAGCAACAGTGAAAATGCTGAAAAATTTTGCTTCTGTAGTACTCAAAGCACAAACAGCACACGTAACCAGCCATCTCAAAAGAAAAGCTATTCTGCTTCCCTTTAGGTATAGATGCGATTGATGAGGATCAGAAAACATAGGTGCTTATTCAAGTCAGAATCTGAATCTTCATGACCGGTGCAATAAGCCTGTCCCCTCTCAGCATCCTCATTCGGTATGAAAGGTCCGTTTCCAGCATGCGAAGGCAGCACACCTGGGAGCCTCTGGTTAGCTAGTCCTTCCTAGTGACCTACACAGAAATCTCACATCAGTACGCAACAAGAAGCTTGGTTTGGCCAGGCAGGAATGACTGTATTTAAAGTTGCCTCCTGCTTGCAGCTGAAAGCTGAGGTTGAAGGTCAGTCTGTGGAGCTCTGCAGAAGCACCAACTTCTCATCACCCTTCCAGGAAATGAAGCAGTTCTATCTGCCATGTTTTTCTTGTGCCAGGGCAAACTTTTACCATGATATCTCTTTGCGTCTTGGCTTTAACTAGAGGCTTCAGCTTCGACCTCCAGTATTGTTTTCTAGGCTGAATAAGATGCATTGATCAT